TGCCTGGACCCAGTAGTTGTAGAGTGGAAGTAGCAGGGTCCATGGTATGCATACAAATCTTGATCCCTGAACAACACAATAGATGCTCCAGGCTGCACCAGCCCAGGCTGGACCATCTGGCCCCCAAACCCGTGTGTCCAAATGACAAGCTTATTCCTAGGTAAGGGCTACTAACTAGTATACTAACCAATAGACCCATGTCTCCTTGCGTACCACTTTGGTGACATCTGATGGTTCTTCATGTTTCAGGTTTTTGGCTTGCCTGCTGAGGGAGCCCTGTTAAGCCGTGAGGTGCATGGAGGATAACTCCACATCCTCAAAAAACTGAAAAACAAATGAACGAGTGTTGTCATGCTTTAAGGGCCTTCTAGACGCTCAATATTATTGCACAATATGGTTTGCACAATATATTGACGGCAGCTCCTAGACGCTCAATATTATTGTTCAGCATTTTGGGTTGCGCAATATTACTGAGCATGTAGGGGCCATATTGATCGGTTGCGCAATATATTGTGCAATTACGCCCCCAGACGTGCTACCGTACTACGCAATCAGTGCCAGCCAGACTCTCACGTAGCCAACATGTTGAGCGATAATGACTTGTGCTGCGTAATAATTGCTGTGTCAGCAAGTCGTAAAAAAAGTAAGAGAGGCTCGCAAAAAGGTAGAAAATGGTCGAAACAGTGGTTTATCAACAGAGAGAAGTTCACCCACGAAAAATTACTTAATGAATTGAGAATGATTGAACCTAATGATTTCCGAAATTTTGTACGAATGGATGGGGAACTTTTTGACGAACTCCTTGCTTTGGTTACTCCTGCAATCGGTAAAAGGAGCTCTCTCATGCGCGATGCTATTCCTACAACCCAACGTTTGTCCATAACCCTCCGCTATCTAGCTACTGGGAATAGCTTTGAAGATCTGAAATTTATAACTGCAGTGTCACCTCAGTCCATATCTAACATTGTTATGGAAACTTGCACCGCTCTGATCATCTGCCTCAAAGAATACATTAAGGTAAGTAAGTAATTTTGTCATTTTAGTTAGAACCTTTTATTGAAAAAATCACACTAAATTAGGAATAAAATTATGTGAGATTTTTTGGAGAATGAAGTCCATCACGAATTCGGGAAAAAGTGTCTTACTGAAAAGTAGCGAAATATGTACCTATAGCTCCTGTGATGAGGTGCCTGCAGGAGTGTTTTGAAGCAATGAAGACATTGATGGGTATTGCAGGGAGGGATTGAACACTAAATGGGGTGGACGTGCGTGACACGTTAATTTCCACTGAATTGCGAGTCAATGTTCCCATTTGACCCTCAAAAAGAATATCGTTGATAGCCTTCTTTGCAAACAACTGTTGTTGGGGATCCATTTTACGTACCTAACTTGACTGCCCAAGCTGCAGCGATTTTGTCGCTCTCATCATGCGGTTCTTGAAGTCGTTTGGAAGCTAATTTCACCAATTCCTCAGTGGGGTCTGTAGCTTTGCGTTTCCTCTTCTTCTGATAATGTTCTTCAACCAGCTTTAAAAAAAGGAAAGATTCAAAATTAATTCGCTATTAAATAGGTTATGTTAAGAAATTATAGTCACAATTATCATTATTATTATACCACGTATATTGTGTAATTATTAGCAGTTTTTAATAAGTTATTTCTTCGTGTTTCAGGTACCATCTACAAACCTTGAATGGAAACAAATTGCTCAAGACTTCAACGATCAATGGAATTTTCCTAATTGTTTGGGTGCCATTGATGGCAAACATGTGGCAATAAAGAAACCTGCCAATTCTGGATCACTCTACTTCAACTATAAAAAATTTTTCAGCATTGTGATGATGGCAGTGGCCAATGCAAACTACGAGTTCCTGATGGTTGATGTTGGAGTGAATGGGCGAATATCAGACGGTGGTGTAATCAGTAACACGAAATTCGGGCAGGCGCTCGCTGACAATACATTGAAAATTCCGGAGCCTGCTCAACTGCCAAACAGCCAGAAAATTTTGCCCTTCGTTTTTTTGGCAGACGATGCCTTCGGGCTGACAGAAAATGTTTTGAAACCCTACCCGCAGGCAGCGTTAACTGTAAAGAGCCGAATTTTCAATTACCGACTAAGTCGTGCACGTCGTGTAGTCGAAAATACATTCGGAATATTGGTAAGCCGATTCGGTGTTTTACAAAATCCAATAGCACTTTCTCCAGAAAAGGCTGGAAAAGTAACCTTGGCATGTTGCTATTTGCATAATTTCTTGCGAAAACGCCAATCCCGAGCATATGTCACCACGAATCTTGTGGACTGTGAGGACTTGCAGGCGGGAATAGTCACNATAACTATTCGAATTTCTTCAACAATGAAGGCCAGGTTTCATGGCAATGGAAAATAGCAGGCCCAAGTGTTTCAACAAATAATTAAATTGAAAACAATAATTGTCTCCAGTAAGTTCAAATTATGTAGGAAATAAATTTATGCTGTAAATTATGATATACAAAGCTTTGGGAGAGAATTAATAAATTAAACAACTTACAGGATGATTACTGGTTTCATTATCATCATCGTCGTGTATTTCCTCATTATCCTCCTGGACATCCATTGTGCTTACTGAAGCATTAGGCGTTTCTTGACTCACGAGGAATCTCATCTCCTCGAAATACCTACCAGAGGGAAGGCTCTACGTCCTCTGCACCCACGCCACTCCTCTCGGCATCACGAATTCGTTTTAATTCTTTTCAAAAGTTGGTGCGGAGACAATTTATTTTCTTTGCCACATCTTGCTTCTCAGCCTGATGGAATCTTTCCCTGTACTTTTCAATCAGTACATCGTACTGTTCAAGCTTCTTAGCATGATTCGCGTAGTCTTGGCACTTGACATCCCATAGAGCTGGGAGACCCCGATATACCTCGATGAATTCCAGTATAAATTCTTTATCAGCTTTCTTAACATCTGCCATGATGTAAACCACGTTGCTAAAATGACACATAGATAAGCGTAGCACTGCTCCATACGACCACTGCGGACACACTGACGCAACATTACGCAATATAGCCCCTACACGGCACAACATCTTGCAGTTTGTGCAATATATTTACAAGATTCTGAAAATCACGCAATATATTGCGCAGACGGTCAATATCGCCCCTAGACGGTCAATAATATTGTGCAAACCTAAATATTGCGCAATAATATTGTGCGTCTAGAGGCCGCTTATGATGAGCGCCTTGCAAAGCTGTATATATGGAAGCATGATAGAATTGTTAATGCATGGCTACTGCTGATATATGTTTTGATTTAGCAAGTAGATCATCTAGGTTTTTTTTCAATATTATTATAATTATGTATATATTTCTATTATTATTATTATTTTTTTTTTGTTTAATGAAGGCTGTTATATTAGCAGCCCTTACTTATCTAAATTACATTAGCAGTAACTCATTTCATTTACTAATATATGTTCCCTGTAAACTTCTACCCAATCCTGCACTGAGCTTACATCAGCCAACCTCACTAAATGGCAGCAATTAACTTCATATACAAAGAAACTGAAAACCACAAGCTATAAGCTCTCAGGCCCAACGGTCATCCATCTGGCAGACCTGCGGCTTTAAGTCCACTCCAAGTGGACACCCTGCAAAGAAAGAAGAAGAAAGAAGTGTTGTCATGTTAGTCATATAATCATTGTCCTGTGAGCACAGTGAGCTTGTGGGGCACTCAGGGGCAGGCGTGCAGAGTGATCCATGCACGACGGCACGAAGCTCACGAAAGTAAAGTAATAGGCTGCGGTTACGTTATTGATGTGAGACTAATGAGTCAGTTCACAGTTGCGAACTTGCGACACGATAACAGATAAGCTTAAAAAAGTAGCAATCATTCATTTAAAATGATTCATTTTACGTGATCGCCGCCTTATCATGGAGTAATTAAACTTCACGGTCTTCATCTAGCTACCTATACTCCCGACTCCCGAGTTCAGATTCACAGATTGTAGGCCAGCCTTCTGTGTTCAGCCTTGTACTGTTTATAGGCCTACCTAAGCTTCCTCCTAACTCGAGACTCCAACCGCGTTCCTTAGTTTCCTGTTGGCTGTTATCCTATAGTGCATAGGCCTACTTTGTATTGTAATTTGTATCACAGACTAAATAAATTTGTATGACTTGTTGACTTGTGTAGTAATTAGTACAACTGTAAAAATAGTGAAATACTGTGCTAGACTATACCGGTATTTGGTAGAGCAAGGTCAACTATCAACTTTGACACGTTTTTTGATGTTCTCGCTGGGTGACTTGCACTCTCTTTGGATCTCAACATTTTCCCGCCAGATGGCCCAGACCTAGTGTTTTGGCAATAGTATGGCTCGCAATAGTATGACATCACTATTTCAACCATCAATGAATGCGTGGACGGTAGAACTAAGACAAAGCTTAATATAAAGGAAAAAATTTGAGAAGTGTTGGAATTACCCACGATGTTGGAATATACTGCGTTTACCCTATTGAAAATGAGTCCAGTTGGAGCTGCCAGATTTCAACAAGTAGGAAAATTCCAATCCTGTTAAATAACAGTCTGCCTAGCAATAAAGGCCAGCAGTATGCTGGCCTTTATTTATTTTATATTTAATTAGCAGCAGCATGGGCATGCTTAAAATGGTAAGCTTTTGATTTTTAGTAAATCATTAATCTTAATATTTTTTCATGCAGGTCTCAATCACAACCATGGCAGTTTCTACTTCTGATTCTTCAGTTGCTTTAAAACTGAGTAAAATATCTTCATTTTTGACGTCATTTCAAGTAGAAAAACCTGCTCACCTAGCACTAGCAGTAAGGTAAGTAAGTTGAATAGTTTCAACTTTTTATGGTCTATACTATTATTACTATGAGACAAAACAATTAAATTTAGATTACTTTTTAGTAGTAACATGTATAAAGAAAATTTATTCATATTTTTCTTGTCAGGAGCTCTGCCTGAAAGCAATAGCATAGAAAAATTTAAGATTATCATAGCTTTTCTACTATTACAGTTTTTTAACTTTAAAATTAAGTAATAAATAAGATTATGATTCAGCTTTTATTTAATGATATCATTTGATACTCATATTAGCTAACCTTTCAAGTTTCATTTGTCTTACTCTTAAGCAAGCTCATACATAGGATATATCTATTTATATATATATATTTATATATATATATATCTAGGTAATTATTTAAACTGCAACAAGAGCTTTCCCTCCATTTTTGGAATCCTGAGATTCCTGCTAAATGAATTATATACCTCTATTATTTTTGACCTAAGATTTTAGGAAAATTCTGTCTAATATTCCAGATAGAGGTGCTATCCTGGATATTATGTTGGAAGAAGATTAGTATAACCTGGTTGAAATTGTAAAGATTGTATATAGCTAAAAATTATTTATTTATTTCACACCCACTTGAGCTCAGCTATTTATCCTTGGTCATTTTATGTGCTTGTTTAATTAATAACTTCTCAGAACTTAGGAAAGTATTTCAAATTTTTATGCAGTAACTTATTTTATACAAGTTAATTTTTCTTGGATATGCATTGCCTGGTTTTGTTTAGACTTTTGGCTGCTATATCACTGGTATTGAGGAATTACCGGTATCTATAAAATTCTTGGCCCTTTATAGGCTCTCAGACCAGTGCAAAAGTTAAGCATAGGTAATGAGTTGCTAACTTTCACAATGAATTCCCGTGATTGCTCACATTTTTATTTATTATACATCCCTTTTGTATTCTAGCCTATTCTAGGATTGCCCTCTAGTCTGTGAATGGCAATCACTTCATCTTACAGCTTGCTAGATTTATGTTGAGCTGTATTTTTTTTAGTTTGCTGTATGAATTTATTTGCAATTTGGACCCTTTGCAACTGCTTATGTGTGGTTCCTTATTTGAGGCTTGGATAGAGTTCAGAGGATGTAATAGTTGAACAAATATTTTTTCAGTACATGCCACAATACCTATGTTTTTTGCTAAGGGGTTTGGAACACAAAAAAAAAAAAAAACAGGATTCACTAAATGTAAAGTGCCTATCACACTATAATCATACTATTTAAGATTGGCTATCCTATCAGTGAAGCTGGCTGTATGAATTTACATACCGTAATTATTATCATTTCAATTTTGGCAGATCTTCATTGCTGGAGGTATCCAACAATCAAGAAAATGACAATCCAAATCTTTGTCTACCTAGAGAAAGAGTAACGAATCACCCATCAGATTCCTATATCACATCAGCTGACACAGAACTTGCAAAAAATCTGCAAGATCAGCTTGTTGGCCAAGATAAATTGCAGCACAACAGTGTTGCTACTTATTATAACAGTGAGCTTGAACTGTTCACTGATCAGTCTTTCAAGAGCTTGGGAAAACGTCTGGAAACATATGGTAAGTTTTCATCCCATTGCTTATTTCATGAATATATTTTTGTGTAGAAGCAAATCTACTTAGTAACAAAAATACCAATGGTCTGAGGCAAGAATGCATAGTATTTTCAAATGCATTGAAATAGCATTTATGAATAGCTAGTTCATTTGACATTTTGGGTTACCTACATTCTGTCACTGATAGTAAAAAATTTTTAGGCAATTTTTTTCCAACTGTTCTGAAGCTCATCATAGGTTTTCTATTGGTTATTGTTGAGCAGTAAAAATGATAATTTCACTTCAGGTCACCACCGTTGGATGCTTCGGTCTGATGTGCTGAGTGTGTACAAATGTGCTCGTCTGGGCTGGTTTATGAGCAGCCCTGACATGCTGCACTGCTCTGACTGCCAGGAGCGTCTGCCACTCATCCTGCCTTCTCCTTCTGCTACCAAGTCTTGTGGGTCCTCTTGTGAACAACACTTTCCTTCTCTCAATTACAACATTACTTGCTATTTTTAATTATTTGCTTGTGGGATTTGGAACACATTAAACTTTCTGTTATTTTCTCATTGCTAAATGTGCTATGTAGCACACATATAGAACCTGCATGCAGCATCATATATAAACATTACAGATATAGGGCTGTGAACTTTCCAGTCATCCATCAGAGAAATCATTATATCATCTTCAAATTTAACAATGGCGCTTCATATTTCAAAATTTCTTCTATGAACTTTTTCTTGTTGTCAGTTTCATTACCGATGTGTGCATTACCAAAAGCAAAGGTTCATCTCATTATGTGTGCACAATTTTTGAAAGATAGCAAATTTTTCTGTTGGTTACTGCCAGTATACACTTTGAGGATTGCTGTAACTCGATCATGCCGTTCCTCAATATTGCTTCAACCCTTTGTCCAAAGATACATGCACCTTTGTCAATATGTCTATTGTAAAATTTACTTGATCTTAAAATTAAATCCTTCAGGGAAAACTAAGATGATAGACCACTTTTCAAACTGATCTATGTATCCCTTTTTCTAAACCAGATTTACTGAGAAAACCTGAATTATGCACTGAATGGGAGAGTGCATCCTTAAATAGTATGCTCTTAAGAAAATTAACTTAAGATGAAAACTCTTTAAAAAATAATAATAAAGGATAGGTTGCTTTCACTGGAGCAGTAAAATATACCGGTACAATACTAAGCTTATTTGTTCTGTTCCAAAACTCATTGCTTGCCCATTTCAGATGAGAGAGCGCTGGAGCTGCTCCACGAGCGCCTTCTAACTAAGCATCTAAAGAGCTGCCGGTGGCGTTTCTACCATGCCTTGTTGTCCTGGTGTCGACCACCTCCTGTACTTGAACCGCCTGCCATCTATGCCTTAGTCCAACTAGCACATTACATCGCGTCAGACATGACCCAGGAGCAGACTTATCTTGCTGACGATGGTGTTCCTCTGATGAACCAATTGGTGAGATGCTAACTACCTCGTGCCCTCCTACTAACTCTCTGAGAATGCCCGTAGCTTGGCATTAGTGCGTCAAATAATCAATTGTGCATTCTTTGTTGACGCAAACCTTTTGTTCATAATTCAAAAGCAGAATGTTCCTTGGCTATTTAGATTTTGGATTGAAATTAACATGACAATGACATCGTTTTACTTGATCGTGTTCCCTATAACTACACTGACTTAACTTTTTACCTCGCACAGAAATTTTTCCATGCATCTTCTTCTTAAGATCGTGACTCATTTATGTAATCGTGCTAATAAGTCTCCCTATAACTAGGTCCTGAGCCAGTCTGCAGTGGAAGATATACTCGGGCCTGGTTACAGTGGCGCCCAACGCACAGCGCTGCTGCTCCTCCTCACTGGCTGGAAAAGCACCAAAATTGCAGGAACTTTGAGGTAACTTTTTTCAATATTTTTTTGTTCTTTTTTTTATCAGATTATTCCTATTTTTTCCTCCGTTCTGGAGTTTTGACACATGAAGACTCCCTTTAGAACTGGCCGCACTGTTAAAGTCTTATTTTCCAACAAACTTGAATTTGTTTCTGGGAAATGGAGATTTATGAATTTGCGTACATTTTTTCTTGGTGTATCTTAATTTATGGTTGTGCTTTGCTGTATGCCATGTGTACATCATTTCATGGCACATGGGGTGTTTCCTGAAATTGCGAAGGTCTTGAATGCTATAGATAATTTTCTCGGTGTTATTAGATTGTGCACTTTGTTCTCATTATCTTTTGAATTCTTAATCATAAGATAGGATGTAATGAGCTCTATTTCTGCATTTAAATTTGTGTCAGCAACTTGTTTCTGAAGAACTTGATGTGTTGATAAAGCAATAACATAACTTCTCAGTTCTCATCTATTTCCCTGGATGTAAACGTTATTAAATTTTTGCAGGTGTGAGTTGTGCAAACGGCGCATTGGCCTGTGGTGCTTCCGTTCTACCAAAGAACACGAGGATCTTTTGTCTCCATCTGCTATGGTGCATGAAAACCTACACGATTCTGTAGTCGACAGCGCTATGTCCATTGTGACCCAAGAATCGCATGCAGAGTTGGACGTCCCCAACTCAGAAGCAAGGGTAAACATTGAACATTCGGATATAACTTCAGCCATTACCACCTCTCTTAATGTCCAGGAGGCACTCTATGCAAATTCTGAGTTAAACCCCTTAAATTTAGAAACGGTATCAGAAAATAGTGACGTGCAACCTGTGGCACATAATTCTGAATCATCCGTGATGGCAGAAGGAAGTGTCTCCGATGCTCCTATGCTTGAAAAATCCATTTGCGATAATGTGCCGGACGAAATTAGAACCAATAAATGTTCTGATTCTGAGGAGACAAGTCATACTGTTGGCGCTCGCGATGATGATGATGATCACGCCATGTTGGTTGATGAAGAAGCACCTTCAAAAATTGTAACGGAAAATATTCCCTGTGATGAAACACCCGTCGTTTCTGAAGTTGACTGCAGCATTCCGGAGACAAATGAGCCCTTAGACACAGTGGCTGATGCATCAAATAATACAGGAAAGAGAAAGCGCCCAGACGATGACGATGTGGACCCTGCACAAGATGAGTTGCCGTCTGAAGGAGATGAGGGTCGATTGAGCAAGAAAACCAAAATATCCGAGGATCAGAGTTCAAATGAAACTTTGAAAGTGGCAAATTCTTCTGAATCTGAGGTACGTTTGGTATTTAGCTCCCCTTTGTTTTCTGAGTTCAAGAAGCTAGTCTTTTTAGCGCATTTTCTCATTTATGGAAAAATCATTTATGGCTATTGTGCTCATCATGTCCATCTGTCTGTTACTTAATGTTTTTGTTGATTTTGAGAAAATGCGCTCTCTGTCACTCACTGCAGTGAGTCCTGAGTTGTATTTTTTAAATTCATTAACAAAATGGCGGAATATCTTTTGAGGTGTTCTGTGTGTAATCTAATTTTATGTTTTCGGAAGCATAAATTTCCAAATTTTGGGTTAGGAGTATTATGGTTCCTCTAATTAATTCATGCACCATCCTACTCGCGGTATGTCTTTACTTGAATACAAAATTAAAATTCGTTTTAGGTATATAAATTTATCAATTGTTGACATCTATCTCAAAATTTAGTCCTATGACTTTATATCACACAAACAGCTACGACCAGTGTTGTTTTCTTAGGCTCTCTCATGTGAATTTATCAAATTTTGTGTGTGTTTACGTTTGAAGCCTGGCGCAGTAAGTTTATTAATGCTATGGGGGCACATACCCAAAATACCTATCATTTCGGAATATGACCTGGACCTGAAAATTTATTCTTAATGAAACTATAGTTAGGCCTTGCAGAACTGGGAGGAAAGATTTGAATCTAAAATTGGAATTTTATTTTTCAATCTAATATATACATTCAATTTGAAAGGTGCAAAATACTTTTTTTTAATTTCTATACGAGAGTCAAAGAAGAGTTCTATATTTTTTGTAAAAAGAGGGTTCTGAGAGGTCTGTCTTCAATTAGCATACTTTAGCTTTATTCCCCGGATTTGCCGTCTGGGATTCCCGGATAGCAATGATTGTCGAGATCCCGGAGAGAGCTTTTTCATCCCGAACAACGCTGGGCTCACCTGCAAGTTTAATCTACCTATATTCCGCAGAGTTTAATCTACCTATGTATATTCCGCAGAAACCGCCACGCCCGGTGCTATGCCCTCTTGGTCAACACCACGCTTGGTGTGCGTGGGTGACCCCCACGGAGCATCAGGTGCTGCCCAGAGACTCTGTGCCACCAGAGGAGCGTGGCGAGCCTGGCTACCGCGTGATGAGTGAGCAGCTCCAACGCACACTGCAGCGCGCCACTGCACAGCGATGGACGCAGTCAGAAAAATACGTCAGTGCTTCTTGTCTTGTATTGTCTGCTGTAGCGAACTAGAAATTTTTAAGATACCAGTTAATTTTTAATTCCTAAGATACCAGTCGCTTCTTAATTCCTAAGATATCAGTTACTTCTTAATTCCTAAGATACCAGTTACTTCTTAATTCCTAAGATACCAGTTACTTCTTAATTCCTAAGACACCAGTTACTTCTTAATTCCCTGATCTAGTTCAACATTGTAATTGAAATCTAAATGATAATGTTGGTATCCATGATACTTTATTGGTATATGCATAGGGATCATAAAAGAAAAGCAAAACAAAAGTCTCTGCTTTGCCAGTATGTGCAGTGGTCACGTTGATTGGAAAAAAGCGAGAGATAAATTTTCCGGCATTTTTTTATGTTTGAATGAACTGGGATGGAAAGTGCTGAACATTATCATGTTAGTGAGATAAAAATGCTGTAATTGAGTTGTTCCAGTTTCATGAAGTGTGCGACTTCGTATTATCATTCAACATGATTGCAGATGGAAACGTTAGACATTTAATGGGATATGAGAAATATGCAGCGTCATTTCGTTATGCTCCAGCTACTGATATACTTATTATGCTATTGTGTTTGCATAAAACTTTGAAACATTAAACCATTTTAATTGTGTCATACGATTTTCCTTGTCACTTAGCAATGTCTGATTTGTGTTGGCTTCCAACAGAGCTCTTGCGTCGAGGGCGTCCGCAGCGTCAGGACTCTCCTGTCCTCCTGGCTACTCGGCGGTAATTCTACATCATGACTCCTTTTTGCAGAACAAGTTTAATAATTATCATCATCATTCAATTGTATATTATATATCATGTTTATTTAAGGAATTTTGTTCTTTTTTCGTCCTCCCAACAACTCCGTCACGATTTTTGTACTTTCGAGTTATTTTGATGCCGCAATCTGATGCCGCACTGCTTTTTGTTGTGGCATTTGATTGTGTCGCCATGTTTGTACTGTTCTCGATAGTCTCTGTGCAATCATTATGTCTCAATTTTCCGTTTCTTATTCTTTTAACGTTCAATAAGTTCAATCTTAGCATTTAATGAGGTACAAATTTTTTAACAAATAAGGGAGAACGCTTACAAGATATGAAACAAGAAAAGCGGCGCTACTCTTTTGGCGAGATACAGGATTTCCGTTGAAATATTGATCAATATTTTCTAAAAAATATAATCGAGAACATTTTGTCACAGTGAAGTTGAGCTGTAGCCATTATCTTCGTTAGTAATAAAAAACTTACTTGTAGATGCCTTGACGATAGAGGTTCTTGCTCACTAAAATAAACTTGATTACATTCGTTTTTCTCTTATCCTTGGCTGAAATGCTACTTGGGTCGATATATATTTAGTTGACCTGCTGATCGCTAGCTTACCAATGCGTTTTAATTTTATTTTATTCGGCCGTTCAATTCGTGAATGCTACTTTATACGGGTTGATCGTGGAATGCGCACTGTTCGAACCCATAAATGTTTAATACTGCCGTATGCATCATTACATAGGGGCAGATATGACATTCTATTCGAAATGTCTCGTTTTCGTACAACGAACCTCCAGCAATAGTCCAGCCTCAACTGGACTCTCGTACGCTACCAATAATGAAAATCTGCTCTTAGAGTGAGATTAGAAGTATTTCAGGTAGAGATGTGATGTCGGAGTTATTGAAGTTGCAACTCGTGCTGATAATTGATTAGGATATAAAGCTTCTGAATACTTCCAGACACAGCCAATGTTGCTTGCTGTCGAATCCGAAATGACTAGAATAGTATAAATCCTTGTATACCTTCTACTGATTTACTAAGAACTATCATCACTTCAAGGTTCAATGTACTAGCTCAAAGACTATTTTTTACCTAGCTAAATCTCCTCAAAATAATTAAAATGTTTTAAATAGCCCCCTCAAGACCCCACGTGTGCTCTATGTACGCCGACGACACAAAAGTTTATAATAGAGCGAAGGATGCGTCAAAAAAGCGCAATTGCAAGATGCTCTTGACAGTTTAGTTAACTGGGCTGATACGTGGCAGCTGCGGTTTAATGCTGACAAGTGTAAAGTAGGTATTTCACCTCGGGAAGAACAATGAACAGCAAGATTGCAGTATGAGAAGACATGGTTGCAACGAGAGGGTAATAACTGAAAAGTCTAGAATGGAAAAAGATCTCTGAGTTTATGCCGACAAGGAGCTGAAATTTTCTAAGCATGTTGAAACGTAAGCTAATAAATCCAACAAACTTCTTGGACTAAGACGCTCTTATGAGTTCCTACATGCAGAAGCGATGAAGCAGTTATTGCTGTCGTGCACTCGAATCTAGAGTTTGGAAACGTGTGGTCACCGAGATTTGAAAAGGACAAAAATTTAATGGAGACTGTTCAGAAACGTGCAACAAGGATAATTCCAGGCTTGAAGGGCAAGTCCAATGTCATATGAAGAAAGAATAGAGATTATGAAGCTTCCAAGCCTCAGTTATCAACGTAAGGTAAGCGACGTAAGCCTCAGTTATCGACGTCATACTCAGTAAGGTCCCCGAAGGATTACTAGAATTTGAAACAAGAACCAACACCAGGAGCCACGGCTATAAACTAAAAAAAATATAACTCAGTACTCACTGCAGTGAGTGACAGAGAGCGCATTTTCTCGTCGACGAAAACTTGCGGACACGGACGGACGGACAGACAGACATACGGACATGGCAAGCACAATAGTGCATTTTTCCATAAATGAGAAAATGCGCTAAAAAATGCGCTGCAACTTCTCCACGCGACAACATTTCTTCTCGCTTCGAATCACCGACATGTGGAACAGCCTCCCCGATGACATCGTTGGCGCTCCGAGTATGAACGCGTTCAAGAACAGACTAGATAAAGCAATGGAAATAAATATATTCAGACTTGAAATGCCTAGCACCATATCGAACCCGGTGGAAGTGTAGTAGCTAATTCAAACTATCGTCAGTCTCGAAGGTCCGGTCAAATGACACGATTTTAGATCTTCTGTGAACAAGTCACCGAAAGTATAAGAATCGGCGACAGGCCCATTCAGCGCCGATATCACAATGTTATGTTATGTTACGACAATCATCTTCATCTTGTATATGGACGTTAAAGTGATCTTAAAACTATATTAATCATTAATATCATTAACTATTTTCACTTGATAAAAATAATTTCTCAAATGTTCAGAGACAAAAAAAAAGAACGTTTCGTAGACCATGAACGCATTTAGTTGTAGTTCTACCTCTTTAATTGTATTAATGAATGAGAGAAAAGTAACAGGATGAAAGCTTATTGGATTTTTTAGTGAATTCTCCCTTCACTACCTAGTGATAAATACTGAGGAAGAATCGAGATAAAATATAGCCTTAGGATTTTGGAAGATTTATTTTTTGCGAAAATGTATGCCGTTAGCTTTTTGTCACTCGCACGATTCAAGTTGGCAACCAGTGCCAATTATGGAGTGAGCGAGAGTGTACTCGACGCTAATATGTCCTACAACATCTCTTCAATCATTCAAGCTCTTACTATTGCTGTCATGAGAGTAGAACTGGCTGAGGAGTGGGAAGAGCTGGAAGAAGAAATAAACGTGAGTATTGATCTTCAGTACACTATTTCGTTACCATTGACAGAGGGCAGGATTATTATTGCGTATCACTCCTGTTAATCGTTTCGTGCTGCCGTCAGCTGGGCTCTTGTGCCCCGTCGTAAAAATAAAATTTCTCCCTCTGATAGTTTTAAATGAATAATTTGAAGTAATCCAATTTCAGAACTGCAATATTTGTTGTTATAAAGCACTTCTGCAAGTGAAATGTTAGGCTCTTGAAAAATTTAGCCCTGAATAAAAAAAAATCTGAAAACAAATCCATGATTAAGCATTTTTTATTCGAGTTAACACTCGTTTTACCTGTGCAAAAGTGATATTTTAGAGAAAGTATTTTAGCTTTTAATTATACAAGCAGTTATATTCATTAAAACTAAATAAAATAAAATGTGTGTACATACGAAACAACATCGTTTGAGCGATTTAGCGTAAACTGAAGTCTTCCACTTAAATTAACGATTCTCTAGCGTCTAGTCAACAAATTGATGGGCTAGGTAGGCAGAGAGCTTTGATGCTCAACGCTCTGACGGATCGTTGCATATAATTAATGTGTCTTATGTACTTGTGCGTGCAAAGTTTGCTGTAAAATTCCAACTTTTTATCAAATTAAAACAATTATTTTTAGATATTCACTGATCAAGCTTGTCTTTTTGGACTTTAAATAATTTAAATTGAAATAAAAAAAGTCAATTCGAGTCCGAGATTCGTATGCAAAATCCTGTATGCGTTTGTCAAAGTTTGTGTTTGAAGCCTGGCGCCGTATATATTGTAGGGGTCTGATCGGGCGCGTATCCAGGATACTTATGGTGAATAATGGTGCCAAGAGGTGACCTGGAAATTTTATTTTTAATGGTGGAATTCTGTGGCATTATAAAATGGTAGGGAGAGTTAAATTTTACATTAAAATGTGATTTATACTATGTGAAGTACAAATTTTATCTAAAAAATGAAATTTACAGCATCCCTTATATTTCAAAATGTGAGTTGAATGGGGGTTCCGCGCTAAATGCGAGGTTCTTTTTTAATTACGGTAAGTTAGTTTCCAAATTATTAAAATGATTCGAGATGATGGTGTTTGGGATGACACCATTTGGAATTATAGGATTTTAAGGATTATATAACCCGTCCAACGCCGCTACTAGTTCAGTATTGAAATAATACCGTCACCCTCATAAGAAAACTTTAACAATTTTGCTTTCAATATTTTCTATATCTTCTGAAATTTGTCCACAGACTAGCTATCGAATATAATCACGTGTGGTTCTTCGTTTACAATTGTCGCCATTTCCGTTAGGGCGCGTTTCTTGGTCTTTCTTTTTAACGTGTTTCATGTTTATTCACTCGGCGGCTAGAGTCCAGAAATGAATAATTGTCGCGGGCGGACGGCACACAATTCATTTGTATTCAGCAGGTCACTTGTATTGTTTAGAGTCGAGCACCAGGATTGTCATGACGAAACCCGTAAAGTATTCTTCTATAATGCGGTCATTATTCTACGCACGAGACGCCGATTTCATATTCTAGAAAAATGTTGAACAATTAAATTCAAATATTTCCGATTTTTATTTTAGGTTCAGAGTTGCAAGCCTAAGAAGTTCTCCACAGAGATTTGGTTCTGCAGTTTTTCCTCTTGTTAGTAGAATCAGATACATGAAAATTGAAGCATATTTTGCAATTTTGTGATTGAAGGCAATTTTTAAGTTATGGAAGTATAATCTTATTTGCAGAGTTTCAGTGGTTTGTTTTATAATTATTCAATGTTTCTTCAACACGATAAAAATAGACCAAAAATTTCATGAATACTCTACCTAGAGCTCATTTTAAATAAAAGATATTATTTTCCTTGAGAACAATTGAAGATCTTGGAATATTTGAATAATTCATTGGACATTGTTATGCATACAGCACAAGTGGCCGGGCTCTGGCTTTCTGTTTATGGGAAGAGTTCAGTCCCACATGACTAACGCTCCCTATCTGCTATTGTCCATTGTTCTCGACCGAGTTGAGGGTCGTTGTGCACGGACCTTTGTGAGGTTTTGTGAGGACAAAGTAGACCATGCTACTGGAATATCCCTCTCTATTATTGCATGTAATGTTTATGTCATCTATAATCTGCCTACCACATACTCATAGAATAATCTATTGCAAAAACTTATGCCTTAAAACTTCGGTCTAAGCCGATACATTAATATTAAAATTAGATTACTTAATTTCACCTAATTAATTATTAAAATTTATTTTCTAAACTAAAACCATCTGACGCAGTAATATCCGCCGCCGTGAGTATATATCTCTTATTGCTTTACTTATTATTAGTATTATACATATAATAATGATGAATTATAATGCAATCTTGAGACCAGCCGGCAGAGGATTTCTTATGATCATCCTTTTATAACCAATTTTGTTTAGAACATCACCGGCTTTCACTTTTGAACTGTTATTGATGAGAGGCAACATTATTGCCCAGTGAAAATTCCAACGCAACTAACACAATTGTATTATTTATTATATTTATTTGACATAAAATGTGTTAGTAATATTAGATTAATTCGATTGAACGCTATTTCTGTAAGGCCTGTGTCTGATGATCCAGTAGCACATTATTGCAGATGATCGTATATTGCAACACCAGATGATCGTATAGGTGTTGGCTTGCAATAAACTCCACGGTAGCCGCCTGACAAATTTCA